CTGCGCTTTTGAATGTTTTCAGCTCCTGGGCAAAGAACATAGATCTTAATACAGGAGTCATACTTTTAGACTTTAAAAAAGGCGTTTGATTTGGTAGACCATGATGTTTTACTTAGAAAAATGGCTCTGTACGGAATCGAAAAGAATTCATCGTCATGGTTTAAATCTTATCTAGACAACAGGACTCAAGTTGTATCTCTTGCAGGTCATAGGTCAGAAGGCCGTACAATTTTACATGGTGTGCCTCAAGGATCAATTCTTGGTCCTCTTATGTTTATAATTTTCATAAATGACGTGTTGTATCTGACACTAATATGTATGCTGAAGACTCTACCTTATCTACTGTTGATAAGTCGTTAGATAACATCAACAGTCTATTACAATATGATTTAGACAATGTTAGTGAATGGTGTATTGAAAATAAAATGATGATAAATGTCAAGAAAACAAAATGTATGTGCATTGCCTCCAAACAAAAGCAAAAAAGAAACAGTTTACATTTAGAATTATGTATGTACAATGAACCCCTTGAACAAGTATGCAGTGGAAAACTACTTGGTGTGCATTTTGAAAATGGATTGACATGGGGAAGTCATGTTACATCTGTTTTATCTAGAATAAGGCAAAGGTTAGGGTTATTGAGACGTATAAGCCCATATTTATCTACGGAAGGAAAGCTTTTTGTTTTAATTCTTCCGTTTTCCCACATTTTGTGTATTGCAGTACGGTATGGTCAGGGTGTACCGTAAATTTAATAGGCAAGCTGCTGAAGACTCAGAAGCAAGCAGCTAGACTAATTTTAGATGTACCATTTGACACACCTTCTAGGCAAATGTTTGAACTTCTTAGATGGATGCCGATTGACAAATATCATAAATACAGAAGGTTGTGCATGCTATATAAATGTCATCAACAGGTAGCGCCTGAATAGTTATCAAATAATGTGTCTCTTATGCGAGATGGTCACTGTAGGAATACAAGATATGCTATTGAAAGTAATTTTAATTTTAAAGTGCCAAAACAAAGAACTGTCTTTCATTCCAGACACTTTCTTATTGACAGCATTAACGACTGGAATGTTTTACCCAGTGACCTAAAGAAAATAGACAATTTTACCACTTTCAAACGAAAACTTACTAAATAATGTATAAAAATGTCTTAGATTTTAATTTGTTTCTCCATGTAACCAAAACTTGTTACTTTCTAAATAGACTTCTTATCTGAATGATATCAATATTTTAGATTATGCTATATAAGCGTATAACTATGTCATTTTTTATTGTTTGCTATATTAGCATGTATGTATATAAGGCACATGCCATTTAATTGATGACATACCTTTGCATGAAACTTTATGCATTCTGTGATACTCTTAACTAAGATAACTGTGATATAACCTTATATATGTTGATTGCCTCAATATATATGTAACTTTTATCTACCACATGTATTTTACTCGAAAGACTACCATGTTTATTTATATATCAATTGCGTAAATATGTTATTTTATCTAACACATGTATTTTACTAACAAGAGGACCATTTGCAATATTAGCCTTTGGCTAAACATGTATTTTACCCTCAATAAATAAAGTTTATTATTATTAGTAGTATTGAGTGAAACCGTTATATTCACCATCATTTGTGTAGTTCTATGGTTTACATTTGACTGTTTCTGATATGTTCTGGTAAAACTTTGATGGGCCCTCCTGACTTCCTGTAGAATCAGTAATATTTTTGTCATCATTTTCATTTGATGTATCATCCTCTCCCTGTGAAATTCCATCTTTGATATATCCATTGACGTTGCACAACCTGTTAGGCGATACTCTGACCAATACACCACCGTTTCTCACAAACACAACTTTACCATCCTGAAACACCACTTTGCAAGGACCAAGCCAACGCTCCCTTCCTTCTTGTAGAATACAATGTCACTATTTTCAAACACCTGTTCTGCTGCCCTCACTTTTTGACCGTAATGCTTGCCGTTTCCTTTCATCAGCCTCTGTTTGTATATAAGCCTTTCGTGTTCTATGCAAGGCATTCAAGTGCTTGAAGAATATCTCACTGGCTGTGCTCCCTTTCAAGGCTGTTAACTATGTTGCATGATTTTGTTAGGATTTTTTCAAAACACAAGCTGGTGGCTGCTGAAGCCATCCGACATTTGTAGTGAGATTTGCGCCATGTTGGCTAAGAGAATTTCAGGCTCTACTATGGAATTTCAAGGCCGCTAGTTTCACAATCATCGTGTCAGTGACCACATGTACACGCTCACACAAACCATTTTAAAAAGTACTAATTCCTGCTGTTGTTCACACACGCACGTTCAAGATGAAGTGACCTCTCGCAATTCCTCAGAGTTAAACTCTCCTCCATTGTCGGTCACCAACGCTCCAACGATTTCTTTCGGTTGATGAACACAGACACTGTGTATCTTGACCACATGTCAATCATATGAATTATTCATTGGCCTTTGTAATGTTTGAGATCAATTGCCACTTTTTCATTGAACTATCTAGCCATTGGTAATACTACGACTGGCCTCGGTGGGGTTTTGGCATAGACCTTACACAGTTCACAGTTTGTGTTTATTTCAGATAAGTCCTCATCAAAATCCTCCGACCACGCCCACGCATCCTTCAGTAATGCTATCAGTCTGTTCTTTGGAGGACGAGCAAACTGACGGTGAAGCTTCAACAAGGCTGATTTGCGTTTCTCTTGGCCAATTTTTAAAGCGTTCACTTCCTCAACAGGAAATGTCTTTATTTTGTTAATCGGGATGCAGTAATGGTCAGATGATGTAAGATTCAAAGTTACTTCCTTTCCCATAATCACAGCGGTGTTGTTCTCCAAGTCCATTTTGACCCCTGCATTTTGCATAGCCGACCTTGACAGCAACAAACGAATATCAGAGTCCACCTCATCTGGTCCGACTGTTATCCAACCATACACATAAGAAGAATGTATTCACCATCTGATTCTATCCTTGTTCCTCCATCAAACTTGAAGACTCTGTGTCCTTCCTGACTAATCACTTTGCTACGGTCTCCCTTACTGAGTGAATCTAGGTAAGTTTGTAACCAGGTCTTTCCATAAACTGTACTACTACAAGCACTGTCTAACACTGCACTGCTACGTGCATCAGCACCAAGCTGTATTATATCCTCCCTTTGATAGCCTGTGAGCAATACAGATTGTTCCTCTTCTTCAGCAACATTAACCTTAGCCATGTTTTTCCAGCTGTCAGGACATTTTGCTACAAGATGCCGGAATGACCCACATGACCGGCATGAGATAATGTTTCCATCAGGCCCTGTGGGGTTTATATTCTTGACCTCACGTTGGGATGACTGAAATCCTCTCCCACTCCCCCTGTTCTAACGCCCGCCTCTTCGGTATCTACAGTTCCCTCTTTTTATATACCCTGCGGCCAACATTGCTTCCTCATTTTCTACCAAAAAAGTTAGTTCGAGCTTGATGCTTGGTGTTTCACTTTTTACATGCTTGCCACCTCCTTTAAAAAAAATCAATGATGCTTTCGCTTGCTCATAGAGTGTGTCACGATTTTCATAGTTCATGCCTGTCAAAAGCAGCATTAAGTTTTCTTTGTTGATGTCTGCCTTTCTCAGCAACTTAAAAGCTAGGAATATGATGGTAATTACATGTTTTTCTTTTCAATCCTCCTGTATGTAGTCAAAATTAGCAATAAAATAATTTATTGACTGACCTTCACTTCTTGTTAGATCCTCAAATTTATCAAGACTGTCTGCTAGATCATCTTAGGCTAGATGTTTGTCAATAAATCCAACCAGTGTTCCATCAAGGGATATTTCATCAAACACCTTCTCGTGGTTTCTATGTTCACAATCCTCTGACAAATTGAGCGTAATATCCACACATCCTTTTAGCTTTGGCAAGTTCTGTAATTTCATTCCAGGCCAACAATTACTGTTTGTAAAGTTCATAAGATTTAACTTTGTGGAAAGTAATTGGGTTTACTATTGTCATTTTCTCCTTTCACTTTCCACCCCTCTTAATCTCTGTTAGAATCCTTCAATGAAATGTAAGAATACTTTTCTCCCAAAAAATAGCCACAGTTCGCTCTGCTACCACTGTTAATACACTTTTGAACTAGAATTTTGTTTTTTGTGAACAAAAACATGTCTCCCCTTATTAGCCAATAGACAAACTTCGCAATTTTTTTTAACAAAGGGCCGTATCTCTTATAAAGTGGGGCACGAGACCCAAATTAGAATGCGACACACCAACTTCCCAAGATACATTAAAACTATAGCAAGTTTGGTCAGTTATGCCGTGAACAAACTTCGGTATCAAAAATAAACAAAGGGCCATAATCTGTATATAGTGGGGCACAAAACCTGATTTTAGTGCCAGAGATTCCACCTTCCCAGGACACATAAATATGGTAAGTTTGGTCAACATGGGTAAAATAACATGGAACTAATGCTCCGGACAGACTTCGGTATCAAAATTTAACAAAGGGCCATAACTCTGTATATAAAGTGGCACGAGACCTAGTTGCAGTGCACTGTACACCTTCTGTGGGTGATGAAGGTATACTTCACGTTTAATTAAGATATCTTTAATGGTTTAGAAGTTATGCCGTGGACAAAATTCGGTATTAAAAAAATAAATAAACAAAGGGTCATAACTCTGTACATAGTGAAGCACAAGACCGTAAGATAGTCGTAAGAATAGCTCTTCTGAGCTAGAGTTGCATTGTTACAAACACGACTCTAAATAAAAATTCTTGTATCTTGTATCTTGTAAGACCTTATTCCAGTGCAATGCACACCTTCTGTGGGTGATGCAGGTATACTTCAAGTTTGATCCAGATATCTTTAAAGGTTTAAAAGTTATGGCCCGGACAAGTTGCGATTAGAGGAACCAGAAACAGAAGAAGAACTAGTACTAATACAATGTCTCCCTTTATTCGAAGGGGAGACATAATTATCTCACAAACACCGATTCTGTCTTCCAGCAATTTTATTTTCACACTTCTCCACAACCTTGACTTCTAGATAACAAGAGTTTTCATAAAGGGAAGTAACTGTTGATATTGTCAATACAAAAAGTCCTTCCCTTGCACTGTCATATAAGATCAAACAATGGAATGGAATGATGAGAAAGAACACAATACAAAATGAAAGTAACACAAACAAAAGTGTTGAGTTGATAAACAGATTATTTAATGCTCTGCCTATTCCACATCATCATCATCATCATCATCATCATCACTATCTCCTTCATCACTTTCATCCTCATTTTTATCTGTGTCTTTTTCATCATCAGCATTATCATCTGCAAGATCAGCAAAAAAGTCATTTTTGGCTGTGGAGCCAAGCTTGTTTGGTTTGTTGCCTTTCTTTGCCCTTTTCTTTGTGCTGACAGAGAGGTCCCGAAAGTCACTTGTGTTCCAAAACTTAATGGTCTGGTCATGGGAACAGCTCGCTAACAGGTTACCATCATGTGACAAGCTAAGATTCTCCACTGGGAATTCGTCATGGTCCCCCAACACACCAAGAAATCGGTTAGGTAAAATGTTCACAGCTCTGTAGCATAAAAATTGAATATCATTGGAACATATTTCATTTTATTTGAAAAATACATTTGAAGTGATGTGTGAAATGTACACACTGTAACGGAAAGGATTTGTTTAGAAACAATCCACTTATTGTAAAAAAATCTAATGTAATACTTTAGATACAACTAAACCTAAATATAATTGCAAATCACTGATTAAACTTAGTTAAAGAAGCCCATGGGTCCTAAAATTCTCACCTGTTTTACTGAAAAGGAGGCCAAGGGGCCTGCATATCTCTCCTCCTGTAGTGTCTACTTGTACATTGTATGATATGAAATAGACAGATGGGCATCACGAACATGTTTATAACTTAAATGTGTGAATATTTAAGTTTGTATAAATGTATGTTTTTTTCCAACAATCATAGTAAAACTTGCAATATTCATATTGCAATTTAAATCTAATTTTACTTTACTCCAGAAATGTAAGCACTTTAACTTCTCCATATAGAACACTGACATGTCAGCAAGGCCCCATCATGTGGTTGACCGACACCCCATCCAACCATTCTATTTCTAGTAACAGTAACCTTGACCTTGCCCTTTAAAACATTTTAACCCCTCTTGCACATCTACATATCACAGTGTATCACCATGTCAAGTTTATCACAGTGTATCACCATGTCAAGTTTATCACAGTGTATCACCATGTCAAGTTTATCACAGTGTATCACCATGTCAAATTTATCACAGTGTATCACCATGTCAAATTTCATGCTTTTTAAACTGCACATCTACATATCACAGTGTATCACCATGTCAAATTTATCACAGTGTATCACCATGTCAA